GGTGTGGGGCGGCCCGCCTGAAGACGGGGGGAACGGCTGTTTCTTTTTGCTTGAGGTAGAGCCAGCGTTTGCGTGGCGCATTGGAAACTGAGGAGAAAGTGGAAGGTACCCCGCACACTGCAGACGCCTGCTAAAGTGGCCTGTGTTTTCAACTCACAAGTGATCTGAGCAGTTGTAGTTCTGTGAAAATGTTTCTATCTAGCTTGAGCGCTTCTATATATTTATAGTTCTAGTGAAATAAATTGTAGGGAAAAGTCATCCGGTTTTAGTAAAATCGCTGTTCGTTCACCCCTCTCTGTACCAAGAATCCACTGAAAGCACCAAGCACATTTCCTAAGGTTGCAAGGAGTGTGGAGGGACAGATTTATTGGGCTGTTTGATAACTTGACTGACTTGCTCAGCTAGATTAATTTATATATGATTAAAATATTACCTCAAATCTTAACTGAAGGGAAATATAAGAAAAGTTTTGATGCTTTGAAAGTCAGGCTCTGAACCAACGTTGCCTCTGTCATTTTGCTTCACATAGGTCTTTTTTTGTTTGTGTATCTGAAAACACAGAATTTGATTGGGTTTTTTTCTGTTCTTTTGAAAAGCTATGTATCACTTGCACAAAGATCAAGTGAGAAACTTACTGTTTACTCATACAATTCATGGTCACACTTGGCTGTAGGTTAGAGACTTCCTCCTTCTACTCTGTGTTGTCTTGGGATTTTGACAGGAGATCTGCGTTAGCTACCCATCACTGGCAAAACCTGTTGCCTTTATAAATTCATGGTTTGGATATTCAGAGTAAGTCATGTGAGTACTGACTCACAGGAGGGTCAGCTAAGGGGCAAGCAAAGAAATTGCTAATATTCTCTCATCACTGTGTGAATTGCAGAAAACAATTGTGTTTAAAAATGAAAAGTGCTACATTACTATTCAGTCCATTTTCCACTCCTCATGTCTCGGGCGTTTAGGAACATTTTAATTAGGCTGTTAAAATCAGATTAGACCCATGCCTATTTTACTGTGAGGAGACACAAAACAAGTGGGAAATATTGTAAAGAGGGGCTTGAGGGGAGGGAAAGCATTATCTGTTGCGTATATTGTATTTTCCTTTTTTTCCATGTATCTTTGTAAGTATTTTTGTGGTTATCAAAATCTGCTTTATGACAGTTTGAAATTACAGATGAATGTATGCACAGCTGAATTTTATAGGCCATGAAAGGAACAAATAAGCACAGCATGTTTTTAGTAGATAGTTTTGGGTGCTTGGACAGCTATTGCATGAAGTCTTGCACATATTCTTTATGAAGGTCCATTTTTTGTTATGGCTGTTTTCAGCTCTTTGGATGGGAGGGAACCTGATCTCTCCTTTGACTGGGGTCCTCCTAGTTTTAACCCCCGTGGAACATGTGGCTCTGTTTCCTTTAGTGCAGCATACAGTCTTGTTCGTTTCATTTAGCTCCTCATGAGTTTTTGTGTAAAAGTTACCTGCAGAAGACCATTGTTAACTGCCATAAGAATCTGGAAGGATTTCAGATCATGACAGTGAGAGCTGTGAAGGAGCGGGCTGTAAAACTCCAGTTTGCTTGCTGGGATGGTAATTATGCTTTCTTTGCGTAAATCAGGTGACCAGATAAGGTCTAACTGGTTTCTTCATGTAAGGGGAACTGTGTACCTGTTGCATACATCTGAGAAGTACTTCAGGTTTTCGTGGGGAGAGGGTTTCTTTGCCTCTTGTCTTACTGAATTACACTGTAAGAGGTACTGGTATTGCAGTGTATGGATTCCTTAGCTGGCAACTTGCACTTCAGACGGCTGTGGGTTTTCTCACTCATTAGTCCCAGAAAGCAAGCAGTGAAGCTTTAGCTATGGCAGTGCCAGGGGAGTAAAGCAAGCTGAATTTATGGCCTGTGCACTTCCACACCCTCCTTCTCCCCACCCTGCTTTCTAGAAGAGAAACTTTGATTTCTGCTTCATTCACTCTGGTTTTGTCTAAATGTGTATCTCTTGCTGCCTTTACCACATCCTTCTGAGGGGTAGGATTCTCTTTAAAAGTTCAGTAACTTGTGTAAAGCACTGAAAGACTAAATGGAGACTTGCTTATTGACTAAGTGATTAACTTAAGCACAGAATTGCATCATCACCTTGATATCTGGAAAGAAAGGCTGGGCTCATGCTTGGCAGGAGTTAGTGCTCTTAATTTCCATTTAGACAATATCAAGTAATGCATTAAGTCATGCATCGGTCATCTCAGCCTTTGAGATGGTCTGTATTGCTATCTTTCTGCCTCCCAACCCCTTTTTCTCTATTATGTAGTGTTTCCCCAATGGGTGAGCACTGGAAGTTGTTTTCTACAGTACCTGTGGGTGTGGAGGTTGGCTTGATTTCTCTCTGCCATCTGTTTTGTGCTTAGGTGACTGCCAGCTGCAAACACCTTGTCGAATCCAGAAGTGCACCACCGATTTTGTATCCTTAACTTCACATCTAAACTCAGCTCTTGAGGGCTTTGATTTGGAGTTCTGCAAGGCCCTGCGAGCGTACTCTGCCTGTACCTATCGCAATTCCAAAGTATGCCGTGGAAACCTAGTCTACCATTCTGCAGTGCTTGGGATCAGCGACCTCATGAGCCAGAGAAACTGTTCCAAAGATGGACCCACATCCTCCACCAACCCTGAAGTGACCCATGATCCCTGCAATTACAGTGGCCACACAGAAGCCAGAGAACATCAGGGAGGGGAGAAGACTCATCCTACTACTTACCTATTTTGTGGCTTGTTTGGTGATCCTCATCTGAGGACTTTTAAGGATCACTTCCAGACATGCAAGGTGGAAGGTGCTTGGCCCCTCATAGACAATAACTACTTATCAGTGCAAGTGACCAATGTGCCTGTGGTCCCAGGATCCAGCGCTACTGCTACAAATAAGGTATGGATTGTTCTTAAGCACTGTGTATGCATACATAAGTAAAAGACCAAGACAGTAGAGTAAGTCACTTAGCCCTTAACAGTTAAGAAGTGTAGCAGCTTGAGAATCTTCCATGCAGTAGTCTAAGAAAGTAAAACTGTTAGCCTCTTCTTTTCTGAGAATCAAACCTTAAAATAGGTCCTTTTCTGCCTTCTTCTCCTCCCCACCATAAGAAAACCCTGTACGTATCACCACATAAGCCTTTAAGGATACTAAATGTAATGCTTTAAAACAGTTATCAGATTGCAGTATCTGTGACTGCCTCTGCACTAAGTAGAAGTTCTAGGCAATGAGCAATGAAAGAGTGTAAGTCTCTGCTTTTCATTAATTCTCTAAATTGTATAGCCATAACAGTAGAAAAGAAAAACTGTTGACAGAGTGGCACAACAAATGAGTTACCATGACACTGATGGTTCAGAGCAGAGACAAGAAGGGGAACTGTGGAAAATTGAGAGGAGGTAGCAAAAAAATTACGTTGATGCCAAATGGTTGTCAGAAGGTCTTAGTACCCTGGTTTTACTAAAGAATCAGCCTGAAAATTCTGCTGAGAGTGTTAAGTCCCTGTTCAGACAGGCAAGACTTAAGATTGCTCTTCTCTCAGCCACTTGAGGTAGCTAGAGAAGGAACACATGCGCTAATACTGATAGCTTATGCCACTTCTTTACGTTAAGACAAGTACTTGTCTCTTTCTGTTGAAGGCAGATAGCAAGTGTGTCTGTAGGAAGAAAATGAGCAGGTATAAAGCATGAGCCTGGCTGAGATGTCCTTAGATTTACCTCCAGAGCCAGGGATGAAAAATGCTCTGAACTTTTGGGGGCATCTTTCAATCAACAAAACAAATTACTTGAACATACATTTGAAGCTGGTGCTGTCATGTATCTTGTTCCCTTTTTGGAGTGAAATGGCCTTTTTTAACTGTGGTAGTGTAGCTCTTGTATTGTCAAGGTATGTCAGGCTGTGTGTATGCAGTTTCAAGACCATCAATATTGGAGAATTCTCATTGTTTTGTTAGGCTCGGAAGTAGATTTTTTTATTACCAGGGGTCAGGAGCAGGGGGTGCCGGTCACAGTAGGTTAGAGCCTGCACATCGTCCATGGAGATGGCTGTGCAGTAATATTAATAAGTGAAAATCAGTCTTGCTATTGCATTTGTGCTGGATTCTGAGGTACGGACTAATGTCAATGCTTGTATGAACAAGGCAAATTTTTGCATTTGCCAGAAGCCAGAGGTTGGATACATCACTGAAATTCAGAATCACCTTTTCTTAACTTGTGCCTGTTCCAAGAACAGTCTGCATCATGAATGAGTTCTGAAAGAGTATAAAATGAGGGAATAAAGCTAACCTGAGTAAGCTTTGCAAAAGAGACTTAGGTCCCTTGAAATCTGCTCCAGTGTTTTTTTTTAAAGACTCTTAAATAAATACAAGAAAAAGCTTCATTTTGTAATCTACAGTAAGCTTTTATTGTCAGTTTTGCTAAAGTCTTGCAGAATGTTCTTTATTTCCTTGTTCCTGGTAGTACCAGAGGAAAAAGTTCAGAGTCGTCTTGTGTACAAATTGTGTGGGTGGCTAGGCTGTGATGGTAGTAGATAGGTGATCTTATCTTGCCTTTCAGCCACATTCTGAAAATGATTGACTATGGTAGCATGTTATGCTGGAATATGTCTTCTCAAACAGATGACCAAGAGGAGAACTTCAGGAAATAAATGTCTGTATGTACTGGGGGAAAGTACATGTTTTAAAGGGTGTACCTTCTCTCTTTATTTATTCTCAATGTTTTTGTGTTTTTCTTTGACTTGTCATTCTGGAAAAAGTGGTAATTAATTTTTCTCTTTCATAATACTGGTTTAACATCCCTGCTGTTGCACAAGTACAGCTAAGTGTGCAGAAGCAATTAAATGAAATAAGATATATGGTTTAGGAAATTAGAAATGTCTCTAATATCTATGACATGTTGTACAGTCCTTGAGTTTTTTCTTTCTTTGGCAGGTAATCAAACTTATCAGCATACCTGTTTGTAGGAAATGAAGGTTGATTGAATGTACAAGTAACTTAGCAAGATAAGTTTTTTAATATCTCTAATGCATCCTCTTGACACCTTTATTTCTTTACAGAGTAGGCCGCTATAAAAGGTACAGAAAAGGCTTGTTAAACTGCACTGTCACTGCTAGTTTTATTCCTCTAATGTTTTTCTCTGCAAGTATTCCATTTCGGTTGTGGTGATGGACTATCTGCTGCTGGCTGTACTTTCCTAATTTTGGCCACAGGGTAGCTTAAGGCACCTTCAAAGAGCTACCAAAAGAAGTTCAGTGACTTTTATCTATGTAGTGTTTTTTCCCTAACTAAAAGCATACAAATAGGTCTTCTACCTTCTTTGTAAGAAAAGTTTCCAGAACATTATTCATTGTTAGTCTTGCTGCTTTTTCATTGCAGATATATTGAGATAGATGTTTAATGGGAAATAATAACAAAGGTTTATGCTGAACTTAAATTGTGCAGAAGCCAAAGCAAATACTAAATTGCTAACTAGCCTACTTAAGTAGGCTAGTCTGCTACTCTAAAGCAGACCTAATGAAAGCAAAGACAAAAAGAGTAGAAAATTCAGTTCTTCCTGAATGTACTTTTTTAGGGGAAGTGATTTGAGAAGCTGTAGGGACAGAATATTTAATCTTCACCCCGTATGCAGTGTGCTTTTGAAAGGGGCATACCATCACTTGGCCTTGGAGGTAGTTACTACCTTCAAATTTATCATAGCTTTTTGGTGTACGAAGCTCTAAGGGAATCAGCAATGAAGGGAGCATTGTGTGTAAAGTAAGTTGTCTTCTCTGTCCAAAACGTGTAAGACTTCAGTAACCCCAACAGTCTGAGGGCTATCCAGTGAGTTCATAAAGGACAAGAGAATGCCAGGAGGAGATTCTAAAAAAGAAGGTGAAGAATGAAAGTATGTTTCCCCGACCCTTCCCCCATACTGCGCATCTGGCAGGAAAGTATGAAAAGCAAGAAAACTCTTCCTGTAATTCCTTAATTGGAAGGGTACATCCTCTTGTGGGAGTTGTGTATTTATTCACAAAATGCTCTTGGCAATTTGTTTGTAGGTGTTTTGCATATTTGTGATGCCCATAGTAACAACATCTGTTTCTTCACTGTGAACAAAGCTATTGTATGGTCTGTGGTCTAGCTGAAACTTGAAACTCCGGGTTTTTTGAGCTTGTCTGATGTGCTTGTGCCCCTTGGCATAGGATCCTAGGGCCTCTCAGTTGGAGAATGAAGGATCATCACCAAGTAGCTGGAAAACTGAGTTGAATCTCTCCTTTCTTTTTCTTTCTGACAGACTTCCTGTATGAGTTTTGGGTAGGTCGCTGGCATCTTTATGTCTGATTTCTCTAGCTATAGATAAAGAGCTCCCCTGTCTTTGAAGCTGTTTTGGGATTTCCTGAGGATAAATAGCTATTACAAGGGGCTGTAGAGGGAGCAGGTAGGAAGGGTGTTGTAGAATGCATTAAATAGAAGGGGATTTTTTTTACTTATTGTGTGCTTTGTTTGGAGGGGTACAAAGCCTTTATTGGCTTTCATTGCTGTGACAGGTGTTCTGGATATCACTAGTGTAGTTTTCCCTGAATAGCAAATGAGGCAGAGATGCTTAGGCTTGCCTATGGAAAACTTTCCTTCTTGTTTGCAGTAATTGGAAATGGAGTTTTTCCTATCCAGGTGTTTCATAGGGGATAGCTTGAGGATGAGAGAGTGAATGGAAGGACAGAGAAGGAAAAAACCACTGCTTTTACTGTAGTGGATTTACTGGGCATAAAGCTTTGAACCTGGGAATTGGTAGTATTAGCAGGGTAGGGGAACATTGGGTATAAGCGTTCTTTTTCCCCAGAGTTAAACATTTAAATATCTCTTTCGCAGCGTGGTTTCTACTTTTGCAGGAAGTCATTGCAGACTGAGCACAGTGTACGTAGTCTCCTTTAAATAATATTAAAGCATTTGTCTTCCAGTTACCATTCAGTTGTTCTTCTAAGTAACAGCATCAGATAACTGATCACGTGAGATTAGTTTTTTCTTCTTTATGGATATTCTGCCTAAGGTAAAGATTAATTTGGCTTTATTTCTCAGAAGTAGTACATACTACAGTTTTGTTGGAGGACATCATAGAATCACAGAGTGATAGAATCATTTAGGTTGGAAAAGGCCTTTAAGAACATCAAGTCTAACCATTAACCTAGCACTGCCAAGTCCCACTAAACCATGTCACTAAGTGCCACATCTACACATCTTTTAAATACCTCTGGGGATGGTGACTCAACCATTTCCCTCGCAGCCTGTTTCAATGCCTGACAACCCTTTCGGTGAAGAAGTTTTTCCTAATATCCAATCTAAACCTCCCCTGGCACAACTTGAGCCTGTTTCCTCTCATCCTATCACTTGTTACTTGGGAGAAGAGACCAACACCCACCTCACTACAACCTCCTTGCAGGTAGTTGTAGAGAGCGATGAGGTCTCCCCTCAGCCTCCTTTTCTCCAGGCTAAACAACCCCAGTTCCCTCAGCCGCTCCTCATAAGACTTGTTCTCCAGACCCTTCACCAGCTTCATTGCCCTTCTTTGGACATGCTCCAGCACCTCAATATCTTCCTTGTAGTGAGGGGCCCAAAAACTGAACACAGTATTCACAGTGTGGCCTCCCCAGTGCTGAGTACAGGGGCACGATCACGTCCCTAGTCCTGCTGGCCACACTATTCTAATAGAAGCCAGGATGCTGTTGGCCGCCTTGGCCGCCAGGGCACACTGCCGGTTCATACTCAGCCAGCTGTTGCCCAAGACCCCCAGGTCCTTTTCTGCTGGGCAGCTTTCCAGCCATTCTTCCCCAAGCCTGTAGTGTTGCATGGGGTTGTTGTGACCCAAGTGCAGGACCCAGCACTTGCCTTGTTGAATCTCATAGAGTTGGCCTCGGCCCATCGATCCAGC